GATCAAAGTCCAAGCCTATAACGTCCAACATTCCACGAACATAGTATACAGGGTACTGGTCCACAGCACGACACTAAGTAATGTCATAAGTCTGCATTTATACATATATGTATAATTAGAAATTGCGTATGGGATTTTCTCTAATTTAAGCATGGAGTTATATATATGTAGCAGGCTATATCTCGATTTTTTTCTAATTTGAGTATTAAATTTACCTGTTTTTGTATATATATCTAACTTGAGCATTTTCTTGATTTTTTTCTTTCGTAATGAGCCACTTACTATTTTTGTTAGTCCACAGGCAAGAAATGTGATGTGTACAATTCTTAGCATCTGATTGGATAAAAAAACCCTTGTAAATTTTGTAATACCCGAAACAATACTAAAAAAGGTTAACAAAAAAATCAACAATATAACCTTTATTAGTATTCATACCAATACGTGAATGTGCGATTCTTGGTATCGGTATCTGACCTATAGTTGGTGGTAGAATTTAATTTGGCAAATTAATACGGCACGGTATTTCCGTAATTTTTGCCACAATTATTTTGTGCCTAATTAATGATGCCTGACGAAAGTATTTTTGCGATGACGAAAGTATTTTGGCATATTTCGTTTGACGAAACCCTTGGCGATTGACGAAACCTATGCCGATTGACAAACCTATGGTGATTGATGAAATCTATGGCGATTGACGAAACCTTTGACATTTGACGAAACCCTTGACGATTGACGAAACCCTCGACGAAACTTTGAAAACTCAAATTAGTTAATAATATAAGCAAGATTTTGTTGACTCCCTTAATAAGCTTCTCTATAATGATCTCTATACATTAACTTCACTTTTTTTTCGAAAGCAATGTTATTTTATTATAAGATTTTATTACCCAGTTTTGAGTCTAGTACGAAATCCTGATATTCAAAATCTTGACAGGCCACAATACTGACATTATGCAATATGACAATTAAAAATTTAAAGTTTGACAATGATTGTTAATGTGATTACTAATCTTTAAATATTAATTGTCATGTCGCGTGATGTCAGTATTATGGTCTGTCGAGATTTTGGATGTCGGGATTTCGTACTAGACCCATTAGTTTTATATAAAAATTTTTATAAATTCAAAAATAAGTTAAATGTTTCATTGTATTAGATACTTGATTAGACTTGTATTATTGAAAAGGCTGTTAATAAATGTTAAAAGTATTATTGAATAGCGTAATGGGTAAAACTGACAAAACTACTATCATAAAAAATCACACTACAAAATAATATATTTTAGACCAAAGCAAGTTATATTTATGTATTCAAATTTAAAAGCTAACTTAAGTTCGGCTGAGCCAGCCTACAAAGGTATGAGTTAAAGACTCACTCGCCCACCCACCCAATAGTGGGCCAAAATCACTCATATTACTAATTTATATTAATTTTTGAATTCTTGTAACAAGTTTTTCAAAGTGCTATAAGTAAAGATTCCAAATTTATACTATCATTCTCTACACTTAAATTTTTACTAGCATCTTCTTCATCTACAGTATTTGAATTATTATTAATGCACTGGTCTGTTCTACTTAACCCATTATCTTCATTATCATAACCCCATTCTCTTATTAAATCTGCTGCTAGATCCGTAGAATCAAAATCAAATATGCCTTGCCCTACTTTATTGCCAACCATCGACTCATCATCATCATCAGTATTTTGTAATTCTTTGCTATCAGTATCATATTCACTATCTTGAAATATTTCATCATTTAAGTATACTATATTTTCGATATCAAAACGCTCCACAATTTCTAGATTACTATATTCAACCTCTTTTGCTTCAGATTCTTCAGTAATACCTTCATCATCTTTAACCAAAAAGTTGTCAACGTCACTTGTTCTTGTAAATCATCAAACAATATTTTTTTACCATAAAAAGCAAGTTCTTTTTTTATATTTGAAACATAAAAAGATCGAACTTGTGCTATAGCCTGAATTCGGGATAAAGAAAGCCGTTGCTGTCATTTTCCGTATAACCAACCTAAGGACGAGAAGGTTCTTTCACAATCGGCAGAGTGTGGTGTAATTGAAAAAAGCTTGATTTCAAGTTTTCCAATAGATTGAGACCCAGTATAATTAGTCATCCACCACATTAAGGGAGTATTATTTTCAAATGAATAGGGTAAGTCAAATCCATTTTGCTTTTCACGAAATAATCTCATATAGCCTACAAGATTTGCAC